ATGAGAACATCTGGGTTCAGTTAGTTCTTGACATTTACCAGTTGTGTGTCTTTGGGGGAAATGACCTCTTTGAGGCTCAATTTTTTATTTGTAAAATAAGAATAAATTGTTGTGAAAATCAAGCATTTGTGAAGGTGCTTTTGAATTCAAATACTAGTTAGGAAGTACACATATGAGAGAACAAATGTAACGTGGATAGGATACCTTATTTGTGGTCAGGAGCACATCTGGCTAGTACAGTTGTAGGAGAGCAGCTTGCAGATTACCATAGAGGGGTACACAGAGAAGCCCATGCTGGCTCCTTGGTGCCCTCGCACCTTGGGGAGGAGACAGAGAAAGAACAGTGGGTCTCAAACTTTTGTGTGCTGTAGACTTAGTTGAGGAATCTTAAGAATACAGATCCCAAGATTCTGCTTTTCAGCAGTCCTCAGGGAGGAATCCAGGACACCTGAGTGGTGTTGCTCCGGTGGGTGATTGGGAGTGGGAGGAGGAAAGAGCTGGCAGGACCTGGGGTGCGTTCAGAAGGGGAATAAGATTTGAGGGCTTTGAGGACTGGCAGGGAAAAACCCTCTATCTCATTTTTTTGTCCCTCCCTCCTGCCTTTTTGCTGTGGGCCAGACTTGGAGGTGGGGGGCAGGAGACTTCCCATTCCCACGTGCCCAGGACCCTGGACTTACTGCAAAGGACAGTGGCCTCCACTGGTTTGGGAGCTGTGACTGGAACAAGGGGCAACAAGGTAAGCATGAGCTAGGGCCAGGGTCCTGGTGGAAACCTTACCACAGGGAGCACCAGCCCCACACTCCAGCCCAGTCCTGCACCCCAACCCAGTCCCACTTCTTAGACTGGGAGCCCTAGAGCAGGACTCAGGAAGGAAAGTGCTCATGGGCTGAGAAATCTGCAGGCTTAGACAGCTGACTACCTATAGATAACGTATCTACTTTGCACAAGGTAAATAGGCAACTGCATTTGTGAAAAAGATGATTATGTGTCTATCAAAATATATTCAATTTAGGTATATTATATGGACACGATTTTTGTTGATCTCGTATCTGCCTTAATTATATCAAACTTTATGCATTAATGCAGCAAATACTTGCGTGTGCTCACCTTCATGCTAATGAGTACTGTAGTAAAGTTCGGTAAAATAATTGTTTCTACCCGTCAGGGAGTTCCAATCTGTTTAAACAAGATTCTAATAACAGGAGAAGAATAATTTTCAGTAAAGAGTTCGCTCAGATCCCGTAAGACTGAAAATTGATATAATGTGGCATATAATCTGGTACAAAATTTCTTTAATCTGAAAGAGTTAATGCCACATCCTGGAATGTCTAATTTTGTTTTAGAGTGTAGGCATTTTCTGTGCTTCCAGCAAAACTAGAAGAGCCTTACAGAATTCTCAGCCATAAGGATTGAGATGCTTTGAATTAGATCACAAAGCAATCTTTCTTTACTTGAACACCTTTTTATACAATAGGTTTGGATATTTTTTTTTTGGAAATTTATGTTTTTTATATTCTGATTTTTTAAAGCTTATTTACTACAGTTCCTTGGAATGCAAAAAATTGGCATGTGTTAAAGTAGAAAAAAATAGATTATCAATTTTGTTGCACTCCCAAAAAGATATAGATAGGATTGATAATCACTGGAATAAACTTAGAGAAAATCTTTTAGAATATTCTTTTCTGTAGGCAGAAAGGCAAGAGAAACTCTTTAGGGGTGCCTTTAGCAGTTTTTGTCATTTTATGTCTTTATTGGAAATTGTATGCTTACAAGTAGTATTTGCTTTAATAAGATTTTCATTTCCAATGACATTTATATATAATATATTTTAATATATTAATATATGTAATATAATTATAATTTTTAAATTTTATATAAAAATTAACAGCTTATAATATACTGCCTATATCATCAAATGACTTGAAATTTCTTTTTTCTTTCTCTTTAAAATTAAAAGAAAGAGGAAGAGGAAATAGTAGTACTTTAGGGTAGGAGGCCTAGGCCTTATTTTTGTCTCTTCTGTCCTCTTCTACAGAAGCCATGCTGTGCAGGTCAGAATTACTGAGTCTAGTCTCTCTTATCTTGTTTACCTACTGTGTGTTCTTGTTCAAGTTACTGAACTACTCTGTGCCTCAGTTTCTAGACTGTATACTGGAGAACTATTTGTACATGCCCCATACAATAGTTGTGAGGATTCTTGAGCCTACTGCAAGTAAAGCACATATTAAGTTCTGAGTATGTAAAACCATTTAGGTGTTAGGTGCTTTGTTGTTATCATCATTATCATTACTAAGTCAAAATGAACAAAAGAGTTAAAAACATTGGGCAGGTTATGAATGGACCCTGGAAACTCCAGTAATGTGGAACTCCAAGGACTGTCCTTGTCTATCGTCTATTCTAGTGCTTAGGGGAACCAATTAAAGGAGGGCACCAAAGGTATCTTGCACCTCCCACCCTTCTGAGAAATCTCAGTATTTTAAGAACATAGAGGGATGACAACCTTGACAAATCCTAGTTAGCACTCCAGAATTGTGAATGTCAAAGAGCATCTTAATGGCATAATGAGAAATGCATTGCTGATAAAGTTAGCTGAAGTCAAGTCAAGGATGGCCTCTTTCACCAGAATTTTTTTGTATTCTAGGAGTTTACTATTATTGTCAAATGGGAAAAAGAAGCTAAGAGTAAAATTATAAATCAGGGACAAGACTATCCTTTGTAAATATTATTTAAAATGGAGAATTGACAGTAAGCTAAAAAACTGCATGAATTAAGTTTAGTAAGTAAGCCAAAAATAAATATATTGCAAAGTAAATACTCTTAAAAAATAAATACGTTAATATTCCATAATGTATATTGAAAGAAATGAATATTTGCAGAAGAAAATTGTAAAACTCCCAGGGCAAACTTAGTAAGATGGGTGTATTAAAAGTACCTGTAGGATTTTTCTAAAGATCAATTTGAATAATTGACAGCATATACCATGTTTATGAGTAGGTAGATTCTATTGTAAATACATAGATTTTCCCAAATTAATTTGTAAATGAAAATTCAATTATAATCTCAAAGGAATTACCAGAGTATAAGTGTGACAAGTCTCCAGTATGATAAAGGTGTCAATTACATTTAGTGAGAGAAAAATGATTTTATTATGGTGGGAAGAAGTTTTTGTTGTTTTTTTGGTTTGTTTTGTTTTAGAGATAGGGTCTTGCTCTTTTGCCCTGGCTAGAGTGCAGTGGTGCAATCAAAGTTCATTATAGCCTCAAACTCCTTGGCTCAAGTAATCCAGCTCAGCCTCCTGAGTAGCTGAGACTACAGTCCTGTGCCACCATACTCAGCTATTCTTTTTTTTTTTTTTTTTTTGAGTTGGAGTCTCACTCGGTCGCCAGACTGGAGTGTGCAGGGGCTGCTCCCGGCCACCTCAGCCTCTCCTGCTGGGCTCCAGCGATCCTTCCACCTCAGCCTTCGAAATAGCTGGAATTATAGGCACGCGCTACCACGCCCGGCTAATTTTTGATTTATTGTAGAGATGAGGTCTCTTTGCCCAGGTAGGTCTTGAACCCGCGGGCTCAGGCAATCCACTTACCTCAGCCTCCCAAAGGCATGGCATTACAGGATGAGCCAAGCTATTCTTTTTTTATTGTTTATTTTTTGTTGAGACAGGTGTCTCACCGTGTTGCTTAGGGTGGTCTTGAACTCCTGACCTCAAGTGATCCTCCTGCCTTAGCTTCCTAAGTAGCTGAAGTGCACTCAGAGCATGACATTTTTAAAGATATAAACCACAAGTTAGCAAATGGTAGCTTTGTCAGCAGGAAAAAGAAAAAAATTAGAAGATCAACATACCTCATTAAAAAAGTCAAATGATAAACCATGTTAATATTTGTAACCTCAATAGTAACTCTGTCTTTTGTAACCATTCATATCTCCAAGGCAAAATATATTTTTAAATTTAAAAAATTATAAATAATACTTTAAGGCAATAAGATCTGAGCTGCTTGGTCAGTCTGTCCCTTCTTCCCTCTCTCCTTCTGTCCCTCCGTCCCTCCGTCCCTCCATCCCTCCATTCCTCCATTCCTCCATTCTTCCCTCCTTTCCATCCTTCCTTCCTTCTTTCTCCCCTTTCTTCCCTGCCTTTTTTGACAGGGTCTCACTATGTTGCCCAGGCTGGAGTGCAGCGGCTATTCACAGGCACAATCATAGTGTTCTGTAGCCTTGTATTGCTGGACTCCTAGACTCTTGTCTCAACCTCTTGAATATCTGGGACTCCAGATGTGAACCACAATGCCCAGCTTGGTTTTCATTTCTAAGAGTATTTTCATAGATTGATTTCTTAATAGTAATTTAATCAGAAGGCTGCACTCAAATGTATCTTGTGATAAAAGAATATTGAATGGTGTTTTCTGAATTCATCTTAATATGTTCTTTGTACTTGGACAGATAACGAGCTATTGATTCTTATATGAGTTTGATTTTGTTATTAGTTTGTTTTCTTTCCTTTTTTCTTCCTTCTTTACTTGGTTTTTAAAAATTTGTTTAAAAACAAGAGTAAAATTTATTGTAAAAATTCAGACATTACAGCAATATGTAACAAGTGGTAGTTGCCTTTTTTATTTTCTACTCCCAAGCCTATACCCCTATGCCACCATACTTCTTTAAGTTATCCTTAATTTTTAAAAATTCTATTTCTTCTTCAGTTCTACTAAAGGTAGTTTCCATGTAGTGGTTCTTGTATAATGTTTGGCAAATATTAGGCCCTCATATATTTTGTTGAATGAATGAGTGAAAGAAAATTGAAGCTATATGCTTAATTCTGTTATAATCCTGTGTACCGGAATTTTAAGCATAGCCCTGGGGCTTCTTTTGAAGAATCAATATTCTTTCCCCAATTTCTAAGAGTCTAACATTTGCACATCTCAATATTTGACATGATTATCTTTGAAATATTTTTCTGTAAGATGAAAATATTTCCTTATGCTAAAATAGTAATTTAACTTTCTTTTTTCTTCCAGCTGCCTTTGCAGCGGTGTTACACTGGTAAGATTGTCCCCTTTCCCCCCAGTATTTTGTGCAGATGTTTATAACTTACCAAAGCTATTTCCCATGTATTTAAAGGAATCATTTCAGCATTATTAGGATGAATATAGCATGTACAACAATAGTTTGAAAAATAGTTTAATTGGTAAATCAGGGTCAGAATAATATAATATTTTAATAAAAAGATGTCCATTATTAAAGAGGCTATATTTGAAACTCCACTTAACATTAATATAGTGTTCATGTTGAGAGGAAGATTACTTTTTCTTAATCTTCTGGATAGAGAGAAGAAATATGAATTTCATTAAATATTTCTGAAATGGTAAACCAATGATATTTACAGTTTATACTTTTACTGTACTTCACCTAAAATATTATTCTGGTTCATTTTAATTTAAAAATTTGATTTAAATGTGTTTTTTACAGAGAAATTTTTTTAAAAAATAGAAATGTAAGATACACTGAATAGAAAACAAATATTGATGCTATTGTATTTGAGTTTTATTACAAAATTATCTGCAAATTTATAGATACTTTTATTTTTGCTTTTAACGTTACTTTTAAAAATAGTACTTCATGTAAGGTTTAACACTGTTGCTCTGTTGTTTTGTTTTTCCAGGAGTCATATAACCCACCTCTTTGAAAATGATCGTCATTTTTCTCACCTCTCAACATTGGAAAGAGAGATGGCTTTTCGCACTGAAATGGTTAGTTTTTATGTGGTATTTTATTGTAGTGATTTAAGAATTTTTAAAAATTAAGACATTTATCATGGAAATTTTCAGAAGGATGTTCCAAAATAGAAAGAGTAAATAACTCCCTCCTACCCCTCAGCAGTTTCTACAACTCACAACACACAGCCAGTTTTTCTTCATCTACACCCGTACTTACCCATCTCTTTTTAAAGGAAATCTCACAGTATATCATTTCATCATTTCATACTTTCATAAGAATCTCAAAAGACAAGACTTTTTATTTGTTAAACATGGTACCATTGTTACATCTGAAAACCATTCATTACAACTTTGTAATATCATTAAAAAAATCTGTATTTAAATGACCTGATTGGTTTTTTTTTTTAATCAGAGCCTCACTGTCGCCCAGACTGGAGTGCAGTGGCATGCTCACGGCCACTGTATCCTCGACTTGCTGGGCTCAGGCGATCCTTCCACCTCAGCCTTCCAAGTAGCTGGAACTACAGGCATACACCACCATGCCCGGCTAATTTTTTTGATTTATTGTAGAGACAAGGTCTCACCAAGTTGCCCAGACTGGTCTCAAACACTGGGCTCAGGCAATCCTCTCGCCTCCACCTCCTAAAGCTCTGAGATTCCAGGCTTGAGCCACCACACCCAGTGATTGCTTTTTTTTTTTTTTTAACAGCTGGTATGTTTGAATCTGGATCCAAAAATGTCTACACATTGCATTTAGTTGATGTTTATCTTAAGTCTTTTAATCTATAAATTTCTCTTCCCGTTTTGGTTTTGTTTTCTTGCCCATTTATTTGTTGAAGAATCCAGGCCATTTGCCTTATAGAATTATCATCCACAGTAATTCATGTTACTTATGTTCCTCTGTCTCAAGTGTCCTGAAAAGTGGTGGATCAGAGTTTTGATAGTTGAAGATTTGACTATTTTTCTGGCAAGAATACTTCCTAGATAGTGCTGTGCACATCCTGTTGTATCACATCAAGAGGCATACTATATCTGTCTGTCTCATTTTCTGTGATGCTAAGATTGAGCAATGGGTTTAGGTATTATAATGCTGTTTCCTCCGCTATAGCCTAGTCATTAGTCTAGGTCGGTTATGTCATTAAGCTTTGCCAAATTGTGATGATCTAGTCTATCATTTTTCCCCTGCACATATTAACTGTAATCTTTTTATAAAGAACTTTGCCACAAGAAACAATGACTTCTTTCTGAAGTATATACTTCATAGAGGAAAGATAGGAAAATGCTTGATTCTTTCATTTTATTTACCAGTTTCCAGAAAAATGAATAGGTTTCCTAGCATCATCTAGTGGTGACCAATGAGTACCTTCTTTTGGAGTATCATTATGATATGATGAATTTTAGCATATTTTGTAAACTTTTCTGTCTTGAACTAGTAAAAACACTTGTAGTTCTCTCTGCTTGCCCTTGAGGTGACCTCACTGGTATTTCATAGCTTCCTTGCTTTCAAGTACTAGAAGACATTTTCTTCCCTGACTGGCCATCAGCCATATTTTTGCAGAACCCCTGTTCCTTTCAGAGGTAGATGTCTCTTTACTCCTAGACAGGATATTGTGTCTAGCTTTTTAGTAAAGACAATTGGGAAACAAATTTTTTTAAGAGAAAATAAATCATGAATTTATATTCATATTTTAAAATTGAAATTTAGAGTAGTTTTTTTTAACCTCTTTTTTATTAAATTTGTATCTTTAATCTTGGTTTCAAATTACTTGTTAGGAATAAAAGTACCAAAGTTAATACTAAATATATGATTACTGAAAACAGTTTAAGATTTTCTTGCAATTTGTGTCGACCTTAGGATATATTCCACTATAGATATATATAGTAAAATTACTATATCTTAAAGTTACTTGAAATCCTCTGCCAACTTGATAAATAGTTAGCTCTTTTATTTTGATTTTGATATTTAGGGTTTTTAAAATTTTTTGTTTTATAAGTAAATAAAATACTTACATGATTCATAAATCAAACTTAAAAAACAAGGTGTAGGTGTTGTTTCCTCAGACTGCCACAATGAGGTACAACAAACTGGGTGACTTAAACCAGCAGAAATTTACTCTCTCACAGTTCCAGTGGCTAGAAATGGGAAATGAAGGCTGTAGAGGAGATTCTTCTTTTCCTCTTCCCGTCTTCTGGTGGTTGCTGCCAATTTCTTGGCTTATTGATGCGTCACTACAGTCTCTGCCTCCATCTTTATGTGGATTTTTTCATGTGTGTCTGTGTCTTTGTGTCTGAATTTTCCGTTTCTTATAAGGGTACCAGTTGTATTGGATGTAGAGTGCACCTTAATTCAGTGTGACCTCATCTTACATCTGCAGGGATCCTATTTTCAAATAAGGTCCCATTCACAGATTTTGGTTGACATGAAATTCAACTCAGTAAAGTAGGAAACATAATTTTTAAAATAGTGACACAATAGCTAAAATATCAGTGTATTTTTTCTTTTTTCAGTAAATATCTGGGTAGGCATATCACTTTCATATTTATGAGCCTGAAATTCAGTTTAGAATTTGTCAGCTAATGGTACTGGCTAACAACAGGGCAGCTCTAGGTAAAATTGCATAAAAGATGGAGACTTATCTTGTGTATATCTGTCTTCTCTCAGACTGCTACTTATACTCCCTCATAGTCTAACAGTACTTTCTTGGTTTTTGTCTTATGTATTATTCCACCCTTGCTATCTTCTCAACGTAGCATGTGAAGCTAAAATATTATCTTTCAAACAGGATCACTCTCTCCCACTCCCATATTCCCAGGTCCATGGGGTTTTTACCTTATGCTGACTTGATAAGAGGGGAAATGGTTTATAAAATTGGTTAGCATCTGAATGAAATTTATATGTAATAATACATCAGTGTATAGCCTTCTAAACACATTTGCATTTTGCATGTATGTTTGGAGGAAAAAAATGACTAATGGTGTAATTTTGGGAATTCAAATAGAGGGGAGCATTTTTGGCCTGAGAAGATTTCTTGGTTTGTGGTTCGTTTTAGTTTCATAATAAACATTTAACCTATTCATAAGATAACCTTTTCTAACACATTATTATGGGTTATAGGATTTCCTTAGATGAAGTATGCTGAGTTATATCATGTTTTTAAATGTTTAAACTTTTTTTTTTTTTTTTGAGTTGGAGTCTCACACTGTCGCCCGGACTGGAGTGCAGTGGCTGCTCCCGGCCACCGCAGCCTCGCCTGCTGTGCTCCGGTGATCCTTCCGCCTCAGCCTTCCAAGTAGCCGGAATTACAGGCATGCGCTACCACGCCCGGCTGATTTTTTGATTTATTGTAGAGATGAGGTCTCACTGCCCAGGCGGGTCTCGAACCCGCGGGCTCAGGCAATCCACTCACCTCAGCCTCCCAAAGGCGCGGGATTACAGGCTGAGCCACCGAGCCCGGCTTGTTTAAACTATTTTTGATGCTACTTTGTGTTCAGTTATTTCAATTAAGACAAGGTATATGAAAATACGTAGTTTTCTACAAATTTAGAATTTATCAGTTTTCAGAAACCTGTGAAATTAATTGTAGCTACACCTTGCTTGATTGCTTTTCAAAACAGTATATTTAAAAACAACGTATTTTAAATATTTTTAAAGCTAAGGAGAGGCATAATGATTATGTACATCTTATTATAACTAGAGCATATCCTTATTTTAGGGATTATATTATTCCTACTTCAAGACTATTGTGGAAGCACCCTCGTTTTTGAATGGAGTATGGGTGATTATGAATGATAAGCTGACTGAATACCCCCTTGTTATTAATACATTAAAGAGGTTCAATCTTTACCCTGAGGTAAGTTACCTTTTTCGATTGTGTTTTTCCACTTTTACAAAACATTTTGTATCAAATGCTGATTCTAAATCTAAGATATAAATCAATATGTTAAATTTTATTTCTTTTTAAAAAGAATAAACATCAAAAAAGATCTTTTTTTGTTTGGGGCTTCTGATTCTATGGGAACTATTATTGTGATTATATTGTTTAGAAAATGTGAAAACTAGATTTGGTGTACATATAGGGATTATAGCAGGGGAACACCATTACTTTTATATGTCATTTTCCAAATAATGTTTCTGCCCTCTCTACGGTTTCTCAGTTAATTGAATGCACTTTCTTTGGCTGGAGGTGGCATGAAGGTGGTCCCATTCAGGGTGTGAGGGAGGAAGTCAGTTATATTTGGCCTTTTCTTTACCCTCCTTGCAAAATTATAGATTTGTTTATGTGGAACTGTTTGGTTAGTTCAAAAGAATATATGCTTTAATTATATTGGTACGTGTTACCAAAATGCCTTCCAGATAGGTTATACTAATTGAAATACCCATCAGCAGTGCTTTTTGAAGATGTTTGTTTACCTGCATCCTTCTTAATTTGGTAGACGAAGAAATTGAAATCACATGATATATTTCATTTATTGATATGTGTATTTTAATGCTATATATATATATATATATATATATATATATATGCATGTAAAATCCATTTTTTTAAAATTTTATAGGAGCTCATTTATTATATACAGGATATTAATATAATGCTATATGGATAAAACATTCTCTCCAGTTTTTTGTTTGCTTGTTAACTATCTTTTATATGCAAAATATTCATTTTTTATAGTCATTATAATTATTTTTATATTTACATTTTTAATTTATCCGAAATTTGGTTTGATGCATAGAGTGCGGTAGGAATCTAATCTTATATAAGTTCTTCTTTTTTTTTTTTTGAGTTGGAGTCTCACTCCATCGCCCAGACTGGAGTGCAGTGGCCGATCCGGCCATGGCAGCCTTGACCTGCTGGGATCTGGTAATCCTTCCGCCTCAGCCTTTCAAGTAGCTGGAACTACAGGCGTGCACTACCACGCCCTGCTGATTTTTGATTTATTGTAGAGATGAGGTCTCGCCAAGTGGCCCAGGCGGGTCACGAACCTGCTGGCTCAGGCAGTCCACTCACCTCGGCCTCCTAAAGCGAGGGATTACAGGCTGAGCCACCAAGCCCGGCCCCTTATATAATTTCTAAAATGATGTTCTGTGCGGTCTAACTCTGAATGAATGTTCCATCCTCTTTCTATTGATTTGAAGTAGCTTTCTTTTTTCTACACAAAGTTATCATACATAAATGCTTGCATTTGTTTTTGGACTTTGTGCTCAGTACTACCTTAGATTGAGGTTACTGGAAGTGAACTTTGAGATGGAGATTTGCATGCAAGAAGTGTTTAGGGGCGTGCACTGGGAGTCAACCGTGGGAGGGAGATGGAGGATGCAGAATGAGGCAGGAGTAAGGTTGAGCTATGATGCAGTCACAAGAAAGTCCTCAGCCATGCGGAGCTCTAGAACTGGGATGGCCCTGCACAGTTGTTCTACCATGTGGCAAGGACCTCTGGCCTTTATATCTCTCTCTATTGACAAGTCAAAGTCATTGGATGCTCTTGGGTAGAGGGTGTGATCCTGAATGAATTTACTTTCTTCAACCAAGGGAAGTTCCCAGAAAGGAACTCAGTTACAAGCCCTTCATGCAGCTGGAGGAATTGAGTGCCTCAGCCTCGAAGGGGGAATCTGTGGCTATCACCATCTCTACCACAGATACATTGATCTGTCTGGCTATTTTTGTGCCGGTATCACACTATTTTAACTACTGTAAGTAATAAATTTTAATATCTATTAGGACATTCCCTTTAATTGTCTTTTAAAAAATATTTTTCTAGGTAAATTTTAGACACTTGGGATTTTTATTAAGATTGTTTTATGTTTATGAGTTAATTTGAGGGAGAATTCAGATCTTGACTAATTAGGTCTGTTCCAGTAGACCAAGTATCTGTTTGTTCAAATTTTCTTTTATGGTCCCTAGTAGAGTTTTATAGCTTTTGAAAAACACAAATCTTGCAGGGTTTTTTTTGTTATATTTCATTCTTACCTGTGGATGAACTCTCAAAGACTGATCTGGTGAAGAATCTGCCTAAGATATTCTAAGCCTCACTTTGTTAGATTAAAGGAAACCAAGAGGATGGTAGAGGAAGGGAAAATTTGATGATTATAAAAATATCTCAAAAATATTCTAGTAATGAAAACTGTTTAGGATAATATCTTTTCTTATGATGGCTCAATTTAAAAACAAATAGGTGATTTTGGCCAGCTGGTACCGGATTTATACCAAAATAATGGATTTGATTGGTATTCAAACCAAGATATGTTGGACGGTTACCAGAGGAGAAGGACTCAGTCCTATTGAAAGCTGTGAAGGTAAGTTTCTTTCTATAATGTTGTCTGGTTGCAACATAATGAACTTACCCCAAACTTTTAGTGGTATAATAATAAATGGTAAATAAATATAAAAAAAATAAAATGGTATAATCGTTTTATTATGCATATAGATTCTGCAAGTCTGGAATTTTGCAGGCTATAGCAGGGTTAGTTTGTCTCCATGATTTTAGGGGCCTTTGCAATTAAGACTCAAATGACTGGGAAGACCAAAATTAACCAGAGGCTACTTCACTCACATTTTGCCTCTCAGACTAGGGCAAGGCTGAGGTCAGCTAGGACTGTCAACTGGCATACCTACATGTGGCTTGTTTGCCTTGGTCATTTTCATAGCAGGGAACATCAGAATTTAGTCAGACTTCCCAGGGAAGCGCCAATCTCCAAGTCAGACATTGCATGGCCTTCTGTGACCTAGCCTCAAAAGTCACATAGTGTTGTTTCTGCCGTATTCTGGTGAAGCATTCTTGAGCCCAACCAGACTCCAAAACAGGGGGCATAGACCTCATACCTGTATAAGAGGCATATCAGTGAATTTGTTACTCTGTTTTAAAGCCATCACAGCTACTACCCTGATCTCATCTATGTTCTGCAGTGGTGTCATGTTTTCATGTGGAAACCAAGGCAAATATTTTCTATATCTGTCAGCCGCTTTAAAAATAAACACAGTTTAATATAAGTTACTAGACACATAAAGTAATTTATGGTTAGAACATATGCTTTGTTTATTTTTAAAGGATTGGGAGATCCTGCTTGCTTTTATGTTGCTGTAATTTTTATTTTAAATGGACTAATGATGGCATTGTTCTTCATATATGGCACATATTTAAGGTAAGAATATTTTACTATGTGTTTATAAGATATGCTAGAATTATGAAAATAGTTAATTAGTTAATATTTAATCAATGATTAACTTATAGTTCAGCTTTATAATATCATTCCTAAAATAGCTACTTGTAATTATAAAATTATTTCACATTTGCACGATTTCACCATTGGCTTGTCCAATAACACTTAAAATAGTTTTAGGGGCGTAAATAGTGCATGGTGAGGATACTTGATACATTCTGAATATTCATAGGAATTTGAGCATAAATGTATGTTGTTTATATAAAATATAAGGCAAAATACTACTCATCAAAGGATATTAATGGCTCTTACTTTGTTAATGTTAAAATAGAAATATATTCTATACAGATGTTTCGTATCTGACCTGATATACTTCACAAAGAAGCAGCATTTCTAAAACTAAAAGATGGACTAATATTTTTCTTCTTTTTTATGTTTGTTGACAATTTATCACACTGTATATGTGTTTGAACTATTGTGCCTTGAGAGTATCTTTAGAATGTTCTTTCTTACTGCTTACTGATTATTGGTAGTATAGAAGTATGGGCATATGTATATGATTTTCAACTTGGGATAATGAGTTTGAATCTACTATTGTTCCGTTATCTTCTTTCCTTTGAAAATGTGGCATTTTCAGTTTAGTATCTCAAAGATCTGTTGAGTCTCTAGCTCAGTGTTGGAGTTTACAGCAGTAACTTGATAAGTAATTGTCAAATGAGGAAACTGTTAAAAGAGCAACATAAAATATATTTACATAACATATAGGATACTTTAATGCTAATGTTTCTGACTTAAGTCTAGTAAAATTCTTTTACTTATTTAATTGGGGAGAATATGATGAAAATGCATGATTAAAAGAAGATGTGAAAAATTTTGTTTGTGGAACAAGACACAAGAGAAGTAACTTAACCAAAGGAATATGATAGTCAGGGAAGGAGGCTGACTTGAGGGAATGTGGGCCAGTGTGCTTGTATCGTAATGAGTCAAAGAGAGAGGAACTAAGCAGTATATATTTATTTTGCTAAGTACTGCCCATCTGTCTTAAGAATAGCTTTGTCACATTTTCAATAAGAAAAGTTAAAATATGAAACATGGCATTATTGCTAACCTACAGTTAAACTCTTTTTTTTTTTTGAAATGGAATTTTGCTATGTTACCCAGGCTAGAGTATAGTGGGTATTTCCAAGTGTGATCATAGTTCACTACAGCCTCAAACTCCTGGCCTCCTGCATTCCTCCTTCCTCAGCCTCCCATGTGACTGGGACAACAGGTCTATGACACCACAGTTTGTTATTTTTTTAATTGAAAAAAATATTTCTAAACATTTATTAAGAAAACATTTTGTTTTCTTGTAGTGGTTGTTATAACCTTCATTTTGAAGACAGAAGGTACAACATGTGCTGAAGAGAATACATACATGGTTCTGGTATTGGTTGAGTGGATTCTTAGTGGTTTGGGCTCTGATCTGAACTTTCTCAGTCTTCAGCCCATGCGGTGCCTGGTAGGCAGTTTTCTCCCTCCATAATAGACATATAGTTAGTTGTTCAGTAAATACATAAAGCAAGTACTAATTAGTTTCTTTAGACTATGATTGGGTTCTGAGAGCATAGGAGTGGGGCAGAGTGGGAGATGGGGGTGGTAGCAAGATGTGTATAAATGGATAATAGAGAGACAAGGAAGAAGGGGAAGGCACTTAGAATTTCAGAGGCAGGAGAAATTTGTTCTCCATGAAGGGCCACTTAACCTTGACCTTGGTGAATCAGCGGTATTTGAATAGGTGGAAATAAAGGATGAGGAAAAAAACTAGCCCCTGGAGAGGCAAAGGCAAAAATCTGGCATGTGGAAAGCATATAATAAGCAGATCCGTTTTCTGGGATGCATGCTCTTCAGGGGGCCCGTGGAAGACTAAGATTTTAACAGTGACTGGGCTGGATAGTGAAAGGCTGTGATACCAGGCTGGTTTGAAAAGTATTCCAAAGCAGGTGAAGGGAATCAGAAGTTTGGCCATCAGGGGACAAGATTCAAGCTGAGCTCTGATCTCACCAATCCCCAAAGTTTCTTGATTTTCACTAGTCCCCAAAGTCACTCCAGCACAATGTTTGTCAAACTGCAGGGCATGACTTGTAAGAGGGTTTTAAGGTCAATTTAGGAGACTCAGCCCAGCATTTTTTATATATGAGAAAAGAATACAAATTGAGTAATAGCATATACCACACTTAATAAGGATAGATATTATTTAGAGAAACTACTGCTTGCTGTACATATGTGTGTGCTGAGTTTAGTGTAAAGTCTTACTTCTACTGTAGTGTTAGTGTTTTAAGGAAAAAAGTCTGTAGACTACTGCTTAAGATGGCATGAGAGGGCAACTTACGCCTTAGGGCCCTTGGGTCTTTCCAGATAGCTGTCTCTGGTTCTTCTCCCAGTGTCAAGGGCTGCAGCTTGTTGCAACTCTACCCACTTGACCGCTTTATGCCCCAGCGGCACCTCCCATGTTGCCCAGTTCTCATACCGAGTGGTGACCTAGCAGCACACATTTTCATTTTATTTTCCCCAAATAATTTCTTTGACCCTATTCAAAGACATCCTAAACTCAAAGTTACTTCCAGCCCTGGCTGAAATGAACTCGTAGTTCGGGGCATATTGGAACCACTTGTAGTCTCTCTGAAGGCTTGACTCTTCTTTTGCTGCCCAAGCGAAGACGTGTAAGTTGCACTTAAATGCTAATCCTGGTATATATTATGTTGAATAAAATATCTTGTCACTTCTTTTCTGTCAGTTTTTTTCATTGCATTTTTGTATGTCTTTTGGTCTGGAGTATTTTTAGAGGTCTCAAATTACAAGTTAGTTCTTAATGTTTTCTTCCTTGATGGTTAGTTTAGTCACCCTTCTAATTTTATGAGTGGGATAAAGCTGCAGACTTCTTAAAATATGGGTTAAAAATAAAGAGGAGGATATCTAAACTTGTGTTTAGAATTGTTTTTCATAAATTGTGTTATATATTAAGAAATAAAAGTTGAGATTTGCCTTGCAGATTAGAAATTTGCAGGTAGATTGAGTATGATATTTTAAATCCAGAAGTACGTTTGTTTTAAAATAATACAGATAAAAGTTTTTAGAAGCCAGATGAGCCAGTCCATTTCACCAGAAATGGAAATAGAAGAGAAAGTAGAAAACATAGCCAAATGGTGAATGGGGCCTGGCTGCCAAGCTCTAACTTGAGATGAAATGAGGTCTATTTTGCAAACACAACCTACTCATGGTGTAATTCTTTTTCTGGAATTCTCAGTATTTTAGTATTTTTAAAAAATACCCATTGTTGATTATTTTTTTAAAAGCTGTACTGCTAATTCATACTTAAACAGTTGTTTATTTCATAAGATACCCGGATATTTCTAAACCACATAATAACAGTTTCTAAAGGCCAGTTTCTTAACACAAGTGTGTGGAAATATCTGTTCTGCAGAGAAGAGGGAGCCTAAAAGAGTGGTTGTCAGACAGTTGGGAAACTTTCCCCATAATTTCTCTTGGGGGAAATTCATATGTACCTGAAATTTTTATATTTATAGATACCAAAAAGATTTGTTGTTAGACTTCAAGGCAGATATCAAGAGGGTGATACTAAATCTTTTATTCTTTGTAGTTTAGTTTGATTTTAGTACTATTCTGGTGTTTGAGGTTACTATTATTAGCTAGGTCATTGTGCACTGTTGAGAAAGATTAGATTAGATGGTAGATTTAGCTATTAATTATTTACCCTTAGGCAGTGCTGTACTGGTATATGTTTAACAGCCAGCTCCCTTGAAAAATGCATATGTATATAAAGTTTGTTATACATTTTACTCCCATATAGGTAGGATGTGTCCAGATAATAACAGAGTTTCTAAATGGCTTTTTTTCCTTTCTTTTTGGAAATAGTTCAACAGAAATACTCTGAGTCGTGCAAAATAAAAGAGTGTGATACTGAGTTACAGAGGTCTTGTAGAATCAGAGAATCATGGGAAGAAGTGATTTTTTTGGCTCATTCCACTGTTTGTGTTAGACTTATCAATACTTGCTGCCAGTTATTCTTTGGTTGTTGCTGTGTCCTTCAGTTTTTCTTTCTCGACTTCTTACATACCTGGGAATGTGTTCATCTCTTACCCTCCTCTCTCAAAGGACAAAATTGAGACAGAACATTTTGATTGGACTACCATAGGGTACCCTTGTCGCCTCACTCTAATCTCCTATCTCATCCTCCACTCCAGCAGTAATGGCCCAGTCTTATCCAGCTCTCCCCCTGCTCTCCTTGTATGGTGCTTACCTGAGGGTCATGCCACTGGCTACTTGGTTTGTTTAGAATCTCAGAATGGCAAAACTATGCACAAAATCCCAAGATTTTCACAGACCAGTGCTGTGTCTGACCTAAGAGGACTTTGGTTCTGCCTTTCTGTGCTTAATTTCCTCTTTAGGGTTCTCCCACTAATTACTGCTGCCTCCATCCTCAGAGTTCCTACACCCTCCTTAAAACTGTCACTGAAGGATAGATAAAAGTTTCTTTCCCACAGCTTCTAAGACAAGGAAATAGGGTAGAATCATAAAAGCCTTACATTTAAGTTGACTTTTAGGTCTTGTGTTAGAATCTTTGAGTGCTTTCCCATTCATTATCCTATGTGAGGGTGCCCACAAAATGCCCTCTTCAGCGTTTGAGCCCATTCTAGATTAAGCCTCATCTGAGGACATCTTCTGGAGAAAACAGGCAGTGAATGGGGCTGATCACGCATCCTGGGGCAGCCAGAACAATGTCCATGTGCAGTCTCTGTGTTTATTTACTGGTTTCTGTCTAGTCACTGCTGCCTCCTTGGGACTTTGTTGTACTACATGAAATACTTTTGCTGAACTTTTTACTTTTTTTTGACATGTGGTGGTATAAAATATTTACATACATTTTTAAAGATTAGTAAAATGACACAGGTAAATAATAATCAATCATAAGGAGCTTTCAT